TGGGCAGAGGACAAGGAGCATTGTGAGGAGTATGGGCGCATGCTCAATGCGGACCCTGCAAAGGTGTCCATGAAGGCGAAGAAGCGGGGACTGCCACAGGTGAGGCTCCTTGCAGTCAACTCGGATGCGATTGAACCTCTCTGTACACCTTTCTGAATGAAGCTCTGTGGGTAAAGACTTAAGCAGAGAGCATAAAATTGTAAGCGCTGACATCGATATTCTTGAGAGATAGAGAAACCAGAAACATCAAGATAAAAAGCAGGCAAAATGTTACCGATGTTCACAGTACCGCGACGAGTTGAAGTTGTTTGAGTGCTCGTCAGCCCTATTTATTTCTGAACAATACATGATGCCGGTGTTTTTGTGTAATATACAACTAGTTTGACACTAAATACAAGCATTGAGGGTACCGTTTTCCTGTTTCTTCATGCATATTGAAGCATTGCCAGCATTACGGTCCTGTCGGCACCGTTGATGTCTGCACAACGCCCCGTCGTTTCAAAGCGATCGAAATGCAGGGGACCTTAGACTCTACCATAAAAACTTGTAAGGACATCGGGGCAATTCCTCAAGACATTGCCCATCCTTTTTTTCTGGCTAAATATCCGTAAAACAAAAATTACGAAACATTGCCCCCCTCCCCATTCTCACGGGATGTCCGACAGGAATCTCGCCAATCGTGTGATTTGCGGTACCGGTACGTCTGACAAGCGGGTTTTTAACAGGTTCCTGCGTTTTTGTCTGCCATATGCGTGCGCGATATCAGCTCCTGTAGCACGCGATTCTCCACATGTATGTTCCATCGTGAAATATGAAACTGCTACATCCGCAATCTGAGGTATCCGTTCCTGTGACATGCCAGTTTGTAGTGGATTCCCGCATCTTTGTCCGTGACCTGCGCTCGCATATACACAAGAGGTCGCGGGTTGTTTTGTGTATATGTTGCATCATGAAATGCGATTTTGCTGTGTCTGCAATGTGCAATATTCGTTTCCGTGACGTGCAAGCTTGTAGCGGACTCGCGTTTTAATGCGAAAGCATTAACTGGTCCCATGGAGCGAGCCGACGTCATCAGTTTGAAGCGTGAAAACGGCACATAGTTTCCCTGACCCCAAAGGCCCCATTGGCTGGCGCGCGGCGACGTGGCTCCCATTGGCCGCTGTGTGCGTCAGTTTCAACGACTGCCGCCAGTTTCAACGACTGCCGCCAGATAGCGCTGCGTATCCGTGGCGCCAGCGCGCCGATAAAACTAACCGCTGCAACCCCATGCCACTACGGGCCCCGCCCCGGTTAAAACGGACACGTTGGCACGCGCTCGGAGGCTTCTGCTCGTCTCGCTGCCGACGGTATGGCACCGCCTCTAGCATCCACATTGTCGCCGGTGCTTCTACCACAGCTCGAAAACATTACTCGCACCATAAAACTCGGTGGATTACTCCGCGGCGATCCATTGGGCATTTATGCTTTCGCATTCACAACTCGTAAGAAGCGCTTAGTTGTCTTCCAACTTTTTTTGTCCACAATCTGTGCGCGCAATATTGTTTCCCATGACACCAAAGTTTGTATTGGGTTGTCGCACGTTGATTGCACCATGCACTTAAACCTGCTGCGTCCGTGATCTGTGGCATCCGTTCCCGTGAGATGCGAGTTCTAGGTAGATTTCTGCGAGTCCTTTGCACCGTGAAACGCGAGAATGCAGTGTCCACAACCTCGGTATCCTTTCCCGTGACATAGGAGTTGTTAGCTAATCACCCGCATGATTATCGTTTCATGAAACACGAATTCGTCGTGTCTGCAATCTGCGGTATCAGTTCCCGTGTCACGTCGTTTGTAGCGGGTGCCCCGGTGTTTATCATTAATATTTGATAAGTTTTACTGTGGCATTCCCTAAAGTAACCCAAGCAATGTTTTTCACCATCTATCTCTTCATTTTCGGTGGGCGTTCTTAAAGAATTTTAGGGTAGATTAATATATCAACTCTATTATGTGGCTGCTGCCATTTTTGCCGCTTGGGACGCAACTAGCGCTCTTCCGGCAGCCCCTACCAGTTAGAAATTTTCTTTTGTCTTTGGAAACGTACTTGGTGCGGCTCTTCCCCCTCGTCATTGTTTTGCGTGTCTTTTTATAGGAGACCCACGAGGCTGCACGCACGCTGAGCCGCCATGTTTTACTGTCTGATGATGATGATAGCACTCCGCAACCAAAGTCAAAACGAAACTATAACATATTGTAACAGTCGTGGTGCCTGGAGCACAATTCCGACTTGCGTTTACCGCGTCCTCCGAAGCGATTCCTCATTTTTTGCTGATGACATTGTAAAAGTGTCACCCCATTGACTGTTGCGATCTTGGCGATGGCATGGCATCGAGGCGAATGCTGCAGACGCCCATTCGGCCATAAGTCGCACAGCAGACAGACAGTCGGTGGGGACGAAAGCAGACTCTAGTCAGGATGTCGCGATGATGGCAGCCCTCGCAACCGCTCGCCCTTTTGCCGGCATTTCTAGGACCAACCGCCGGGATTGCGACATCCGACAGCATGACACATCTGCTACTGCGATGCCATTTGTTGTCACTTGGGAACCATTTTCGATACATGAGTGGGACGGGACAAGAAACACACCAGTCAGAGATTCATTTTGGGGCCCGCAGTTCATTTAAAAAGAATTTTACGCTTTGATGTCGGGTGGCACATCATTCAGGGCGAGACGAAATACCTTTGCGATCTTTGTCTCGCGCTTCGTTATTGTAGGCCTCCTACGTTGTGCTCGGTGGCGCGGAGAAGTGGCTGACTGGATGCTTCGGCTGCGTTTCAGCTGGGCACGCTGGGCGCGGGCAACCACTATGCGGAGATCCAGGTGGTGGAGGAGATCTTCGACAAGCACAACGCCTACAAGATGGGCATCGAGCGCTGCGGACAGGTGTGCGTGATGATCCACAGCGGCAGCCGGGGCTTCGGGCACCAGGTGGCCACCGGTGAGGGAAAGCTTCCGCAGACGCAGTCCAGCCGTTACGATTCCCTATGCCTGAGATCGGCCACAATACCACCTGCACATACCGTATTTACTCGCAGAATGAACGCACTTTTTTTTCCGAAAAATCGATGCAAAGTTAGGGGGGGCGTTCATTACGCGAAGTAAAATTTTTGCGTCGGTTATTTACTCGCATAATGAACGGACCTTTTATCCTGAAAAATCGAAGTAACTTCTTATCTCTCTGCGCGCGGCGCCCTACCCCGTAACCAAACTAAGCCGTGCAAAAAAAAAAATCCTTTGTTTTTGTTTTTTTAGTTCCTTGGGTTTTTTTTTTTTTTGTTGCCGCCTTTGCAAGCTGTTTTGTTTGCTTAAGCGTTGCTTAGGCGAGGGCTCTCCGCTTATCTTTCTTATCTCCTTGCGCGCGGCGCGCGATGCACGACCCCCGGGTAACCAAACTGGGCCATGCAAAGAAAAGAAGAAAAAAAAAAAGCTCCTCTTTTTCTTGTTTTTTTTCTCGGTTCCGTGGGTTGTTTTTCTTTTTGTTTCTTTTTGCTGCCTTTCGCAACCTGTTTCGTTTGCTCCGCTCCTCTTTGTTACCTCCTTGTGCGCGGGGCGCGACCCCCCCTAACCAAACTGCGTTGTGCAAAAAAAAAGAAAAAAAAAGCTCGTTTATTTTTGTTTTTTCCTAGTTCCGTGGATTTCTTTTTTTTCTTTTTGCCGCCTTTCGCAAGCTGTTTCGTTCGCTTAGAGCGCTTCTCCGCTTCTCTTTCTTACCTCCTTGCGCGGGGCGGCGCGCGAACCCAAAGTCCAGACTGCGCTGATCAAAAAAAAAAAAAAAAAAAAGCTCATCTCGCATGTTTTTTTTCTTGCTTCCGTTGGATCTTTGCGAATTTTTTTAACGTCTTTTGCAAGGCGTTTTGTTCGACCACGTTGCCCATGCATTCGCGACCTCGCTGCACCAGGATAGAAAAGTGCGTTCATTTCGCGCGCGTGGGAGGAGGGGGCCAAATTTTGACCTCCGAGTTGGGGGTGCGTTTATTACGCGAGTGAAAAAAAAATCGAAATTTCGACAGCCGACTTGGGAGGTGCGTTCATTACGCGAGTGCGTTCATTGTGCGAGTAAATACGGTACACACTCAAGGCCCCTATGCACATTTGCGCTTGAGCACGGTGCGTTCTGCAGCGGCAAGCGGACGCGTTGCATTGCAAAGAGTCGTGCACGCTTGAGCACGGCAGCACGTTGGCGAATAGCGATGGTGTTGAAGTGTTTGATCTTGGGACTATCCCGCTGGCTTCTCTGAGATTCTGTCAAACTCAAACCCTCGCTGCCTTGGAAAGAGCAGTCCCCACTGCTGCGTAAAACAAAAAAGCGAGTTCTTTGAGTGGTGAAGCAGATACGCCTCGTCAAGTGGCGCGAACGAACATGTGACCCTCCTCTCACGGCTTCTGCAAGTTGAGCGAGCGTCTATTCTCTTGCGTCGCGCTACCGAGTGTCGGGGATGGCGTGCGCTCTACTGCAAGCGACCGCTCCTGGTCTCAAGGGCACTGCAACACATACAGATGCAATTGTGTGTATGGGCCTCCACTCAAACGCACTCACTCACATACACTTGGAACAAAGGACGCAAAAATTATGGTTTGTTGCAAACTTAACATAATCAGACGTGTTAAACCACTTGCTTTGATAGTCTTTTTATGGTCATAACTCAGTCTACGGGCTCTAAGCATCCTAAAAAACCAAACATTACATTTTTGCGTGACCAATTTCTTTGTTAAAATCTCTATCAAAGATTGATGACCCCAGAACTTCCTCTGAAACCGGAGAGCACCATCAGACGAGGACAAGGGCTTCTCCTCGTCCGACAGTGCCTTCTGGTTTCAGCGATACTTCCGATAATCAATCATCAGTACCAAGGAATCGGCCTTGCTTAGGTGTAATGTTTGGTTTTTTAGGGTGCTTGAGCCCATAGACCGAGTTATGACCATAAAAAGACTCAAAGAAAGGGGTGTGGTGCCCCATTTAACACGTCCGATTGCACCAGGTTTGCAACTGACCATAATACTTGCATCTTTGCTCTGCTACTATTCAGTTCACTGTGAAAACGCAGACTTTTCGTTGAGCAGTTAGTACACAAGCTCCTTTCTTACCCATTCTACAAAAACCCTAAACATGGCAAATATAGTAATGCGGTTAAATCTCGTTGATTCTAACTCGAGGGGGACTCCCCCGGCCAAGACGGGACGTCTGATCACCCTGTGTTTGAGTGAGTAAGCAAGCAAATAATTTTCACATGCATACCTGCAAAGGTTGTTTGGTTGTAAAAATTGTTTTTCGGACTCCAGTGAAGCAGTAATTGGCAGCCGAGAGCATGCGTGAGCAGCGAGAAGCCCGTTCATTTCATATTGTGAAATTTTGTGCTAGTGAAATGTTTAAAAAACTTGCACTTTGCGAAATTCGCTAACTATAGAGCCCGCAAAGATGGTCGTTTGCAGTATGCCAACTCATAACAAAAACATACTATATCACTCCAAATTGTGCAGTTTTGTGCCAACTGACTAGGGGCAATCCTTCTGTAGAGTTGCTTACAGTATCTGCAAGTGTCCAGCTTGATGCATTGTCGTGCCCCGTTGCAGATGCCCTGGTGGCAATGGAGAAGGCGATGAAGCGTGACCAGATTGAGGTGAATGACCGCCAGCTGGCCTGCGCCATGATCCGGTCTCCAGAGGGACAGGACTACCTCAAGTCAATGGCGGCTGCCGCAAACTTCGCTTGGGTCAACCGCAGCAGCATGACCTTCCTCAGCCGCCAGGTGAAGCCAAGGGGCTTGATTGACGTCCTCTCTATTGATGCTCGGTGATGCTGACCTTCTGGGTCAGCACGGACATGCAACCACTTGACTTCTTATATAGCCTCATTTTTTTATTTTGTTGCAAGTCTCGTAATTTATACAGATATACCATAATATGCCGAGTCATCTCCCATCCCGAGTCAATGCTCACCCCACTTTTTGGGGGAATATATATTTCCAAAAAAAATGCAGTGCTCTCGCCCGCCCCTACAAGTACCCCAACGCGGAGTCCGCGATCCACGAACATTCGTACTACCCAAGTGACGCGGCTGTGCGGACCTTGCAGTTGGAGAACGTCCACAACAAAGTAAAACGCAGTTCAGAAGGACACTTCACTTTGTTTACCCATTTTCTCCCCGATTTCCGCGAGCCCGAAGTCTGAGTGCATGCGTGCAAAAGAAAAGCGATGGAGATAACAAAATTAAACTTGATTTCGCTTACAAAAAAGGTTGTTCAGACAAAACAAACAAACAAAAAAAAACTGGAATATAACACAAGCATTAACCCATTCAGGGATTGCGAGGTCAGCGAACGCTCCATATCCTGGGAATGTAACCACAGAGTGTAAGGTCAAAGTCCACCTCCACCAAAATAAGCTTCCCACAAGTATCCAATCATTCTTCTAGAATGTAGTGACTGTGGTTGGTAAGGTTGTGCAATGTTTTGAACAAAGCCAACTGGTAAATAGAGAATGCTGTAATGCCACACAGACGTTTCTAAAGTGTCCCACTTCGAGCTCAGTGTTTGTAGTGTCGTCCACGCCACGCAGCAACGCCACATCAACCCACAATGATAGCACGCCATGCAAGAACACGCATGTATGCACCAAATAATAAAGTTGCACAAGAGTCTGCTCCTTGTGACTGACAAGGTGCCTGACTTTGCCCGATGCCCAAGCATTTACCAACGTGACCACCGGCTTCCCTAGCATTGCGCTTCATCGCTTTTGCTCGTTGCGCCAGATGTATTTTTTTATTGTCTAGTTGATAATTTTTTTCTTTTTTTATCTAAAGAGGGAGAGCATGCGGTTTTAGAAACGTGCTTTCATGGAACAGACATTCGTGCTGCATGCAGTTTTCATTGCGCGTATGCAGGCAAGACTTTGCGGTAGTAAGACATTCTTTTAATAAACAATAAAACTGGTTTTGAGTTTAAGGTGGGACTAGGGTACTTAAAGGGACCATGAAATGACCTTTTTACTTTTTCCAGATAACTTTTACATTAAACCGTCAATGTTCACTGAATGCCGAACAGGCATCCGTTTTCGTCTCGGTTTATTAACTTTTACACAAAAAATTATTGAAATATCGACTTTTTCATTCTCTCCAACTGACCGCAAAAGAAGCCGTGACGTAGACCGTTTCCGGAACCGGAAGTTCTCTCGGCAGTAGGAGAATGGGAGTGTTAGCGGCAACGAGTTGGGGTGCGCCGGTAGGTTTTACTGCGCTGATGTCACCGACGTATTTCCTGAATCGGCGCCTCTCATCGCCGCATTGGCCGCATCGCAGCTGAGCGAAATTCAATGAGATATGTTGCGCTACAGCGACAGCATGGGACTAGTCCCATACGCCGGTATGCCTGTTGGGAAGTGCAGCGAGTCTTGTCACCACCCCGTCATTGTTGGCAGAAGGGCCGGCCAGTGTCAGTCGTTTGCAAAGCGACGTAGATGGCGTTTTTCGCGGCCTCGGAGATGCAGGAGCGAGCCGACGTTAAAAAAGATACGTTTGAACTACGAGTGTCAGCAAGAGCCACGTAAATACCTGTTTACACTCGGAGCGGACGCGCGCGCTTGATGGAAGTCTTGTATTCGCGCTGTTGGTAAGCGCTTCGGGACCGTTCTTTTACGATTGCAACTCGATACTGACGCGACACTCGGCAAAGAAAGGTTGGACCGGGGTCGACAGTGACGTGCAGTCTGTCAGAATAAAAATGGCATACCAATAACAAAGTGTACATACCGTGTTACGAAGGCAATCCATACGGCGTTTATTTCAGCTCTATATCACACAAAACAAGAAGATAGAATCGACGAGAGTCCCTTTTCGACGAGTGTTCGTCAACACTGCCTCGGAAAACAAGGGGAAGAGATTGACCTCCTCACCTCTTAATCTAGAATTGAGGTCAGTGATCAAACTATAATACGGGAAGGGTCCACAAGGGTCGCGCGGGCATATTCCATTTAGCACGCCAGCCGGTCGTAGGCAGACGGTCTTGCGACGAAGCAACGCAGCGCCGAGTCGGAATGCCTGCTAGGCCTATACGCTTCGTCGGAGTCGGTGAATCCAGCGTTCTTGTTCGTCGTGGTCTGTTTTAAGTACTGTTTTCTTGCTGCTTGAAGTCGGCACGCGCGGGAAGAACACGTAGAAAAATAAACGTTCAGTCAGTCAGAGTTTTGAGAGGAAGGAAAACAAAGAAAATAAATGTTCGTCGGTCGCCGTCACCCAAGTAACTGGCGGCCCTGCCCTACTGCGCACGCGCAGTAGTTGCTTCGTTTACCACACGATAGATGGCGCTTGGCTCTCAGCATTATCAAATTTGGCAATTTTCGCCACACATCTATAATTATGCTACAAAATGTGGATCTGAATATTATTTAACAAAACTTTTAGGAAACATTCGCCGGCTATTTATTGTTTACGATCGCGGTGCTGGTGAGGTAGGCTCTTACCCAATAGGCGATGTGGATTCGGGTGACGTGCACCGATTCTGCGTATGCATCGTAGTGAACAGGCGAAGAAGGAAGGCGCAAAAGAGTCCAGTTTTCTTTTAAAAGTTCTATAGCAAATAATTTTTTTGGGCTCCCTATTTTTGTGTTTTTGTGTTTCTTTTCACACCTTTTACGACGTGCGGTGGATGAAACTCGATTTTAAAATCATTTCATGGTCCCTTTAAGGCGAGACGCGGGTCTTAAAATGGTAAAAAATCGCGAAATTTGGGGTTTTTCAAAAATCACATGTTTGGATAGAATATAGTCTGAAGTACCTGCCTGCGAAGTTTCAATGTCCTATTCGACGTCTAAGTATAAAAAAAACTATAAATACGATGCCTCCGCGACGCTCAAATCGCGAATCAAACGCAAAAAATAGTCAAACTGCGCGCCCGCGTCGCTTCACGACCGATCGTCGGATCGCGGCCATCTTGGTCTTGTTGGAGAGCTGGTTCTCTTCCCTACGTCCTCATCCCACTCACTATCGCGACAACCTTGGAGAGCGTCCGCATTCCACGTGTTTTCACGACCGGAATAACGATTGCTCATTGGCCCGCGCGCGTACGTCACGGGTACGTCGTGCCGCGCGCGCCTGTCATAGGCCAAGACGCGCCCCTTTCCACTTTTGCTCCTTTCCTCCTCTTGGCGCGCGCGCCTCCAGCAGCGCATGGGGATCGTGGAGAAGCGTCGTCTGCTTCGTTTTGGCCCGTCGCTTTGTTCGTTCCGCGGCTGAGTGCACGTTTTTCGAAATCGTTTACGTTCGCGCGTTCGCGTCGGACATCGTTGGTTTCTCGCTACGAAGTTGCGGGAGTTTTATTTCGAGCGATCGAGATGCCGGGGGACTCTCGATTGAAAGAGAGTATGCGGCGGACGTTCGGGAGGAAGACGCGACGTGCGTGGAACAAGCGGAAGACAACACCTGCAAGTGCGCCGCTACGATCTGCGCCACTGCCGAACGCATTGGATCTGCCGGGACCATCGGCTAGCCTTCCCGTTGACGATGCTGCGGCCTCAAGCTCTGGTCCGGATGGCTCAAGTTTTGCCGGCACCACTCGCGTCGACTCTACCTACTACTCCACGGCCGAGCAAGCGCAGCGCGCCGAGCGATCGGAGCAAAGCAAGCGCAGTTTATCGGAGAAGTCGGCGACCCAGCGGAAGTTCGATCTGCTTGAAGTCAACGGATCATGCCAAACAAGCGATGCCGGGACCCAGTTTGTCATCGTCGACATGAAAGTCCTCAACGACCTCTTCGCGCACGCGAGGTGTGGAAGCTGCTGTGTGGGATCTCTCACGCTCAGCAAGGCCGCGGACAAGGAGTACGGCTTGGCCGTCAAGCTTGTGCTCGTCTGCAGCACTTGCGACTTCCAGAAGAAGCAGTTCTTTTCTCCCAGGGTTGCTGGAACAGCGAAGATCACTCCCTTTGAAGTGAACATGAGGGCCATGAAGGGGATCCAATCCATTGGCAAAGGAGTGACAGCCTTGGCAGACTTCTGTGCCTCCATGAACATTTCTCATCGGGGCCTGCACCACAAGACGTACCAGGGACACCTGAAAACGCTTGTGCGGGCATGTGAGAATGCAGCAACCGACAGTGAAGCTGCCAGTGTTGCTGTCGTCAAGGGGCTCTACACAGGCTTTATGAACCCCATTGGCAACATCGATGTCATCTTCGACGGATCATGGATGACCCGAGGACGCAGCTCCCACATTGGTGTAGGCTGCATTGTGGAGTTGTACTCTGGCCTCGTCATCGACCATGTTGTGTACTCCAACTTCTGCCTTGGATGTGCCTTGGGACCGGAGCCCGAGGACGATGGCTACAGCGACTGGTACGCAACCCACGACTGCCAGAGGAACATTGACTGCAATGCTGGCCGTATGGAGGTGGAGGCTGCGCTCACAATGTTCCAGAGGTCTCTGACCAAGCATGGTCTCCGCTACACCACCGTCCTTTCGGATGGGGACAGCCGGACATTCCATGCCTTGTCTGAAGCGAAGGTTTACGGCTTCATCAAGATAGAGAAGAAGGATTGCGTGAACCACGTCCACAAGCGGATGGGAGCTGCCTTGCGCAACGTTGTTGAGAAGAAGAAGGCACAAGGCGAGTCACTTGGTGGGAGAGGAAAGCTGACACAGGAAAAGATCAAGAAGATCACCAACTATTACGGCTATGCTCTCAGGAGCAACAGCCATGACGTTCCAGGGATGAAGAGGGCGGTGGAAGCCACACTCCTGCACATGACCTCAACAGACA